CGTCACGGTCGCTCCCCCCCCCCCCCCCTCCTCCCCCTCCAAGGACGTGTCTGGAGAGTCATCTCGTTACACACGTAAGTGCGCGGTGTGCACGCTCGAGTCAAGTCGTAGAGCCGAGTAATGTCGCGTGTTAACGCAATCATTTCGACGCGCCGCGGAGCATCGAAGTCGCCGCGCATTAAATGTCACATTCTAAATAGCGAACCGTTACGTAAAGCGAACCGCCGTAAATCGCTCCCTTGATACAGAAGCGAAGCGTACGCGTCGTCATCGCAAGAGCCATGGGACTTTCCCACGTTATTGCTGCCCGAAAGAAAGTCACGAAAATGACCCTAATTCGCCGGCATTAGGCCGCGGCCGTTGTTGGAAAAAAAAAAGACATTAACCAGCCGTGATGAAAATGAGAGTGGAGTTCTTCTCGCTCCTTCTTTTTCTCCTCCTTTCCTCCCGAAGACCGAAGGCCCGCACATGACGGGAACGACGCGCGATGCGCGCGTTTACTTCGGCGAATTGACACGTTCGAGAGCCGTGTGATGTCGATCTCCTCTGTGCGCAACGTTGTGAGAAATGAGCGAACGTCTCATTTCTCGGCTCGTTCTTTCACACTGACAGAAAATTATAGGGTTCCTGTTCAGTGACACAAGTCGACACGAGCATCATCTTGTCTTTGTTCCATGTTCAATGAATAACGAAGATAGGATGATGCTTGTGTCGACTTGTGTCACTAAATGAAAGGTGCTCATAGTTAGTCCCGGCGCCAAATGTATTTTATAGTAGCAGCGACACGCATGTCAAGTTATTATCACTGGCGCTACAGCAATACTTGCTAGAAAAATGTATCTTCCGACTATTTTTCTGGTTAAATAATATGTTTGGCGCCGAAACTAACTATAATTTTCTATAATCAGTGCACTTCCTCCTCGTGTTCCTCTATCATAAGGAAAACGGTGGTGGTAAGTCCACGAGATCGGCGGGATCCAATTTTCAGCCTCGTCCAAAGGAACATCGCGCATGTCACACCGATCATGACGATCGTCGGCTCGACTGACGAGCCCCCCCCCGACTCTAACAATTACATAATTCGCGTCCAATTAACACGATATCTGTTCGGGCGCATTTTGTTGGCCCGATCGGAGAGCTCCGCTGTTTTCTTTCGCGTGGATACCTATCTCTCCTTCTTTTTGGGACACGATACCACGGTTTTACGAGCGAGCCTCGAGTGTCCAGGTCCGTTTGTCATAGGTCCCTGAGAGACCCGAGGCGAATAGGAGGAGATGCGGGTAAGGGAGTAGGAAAAGGCGAGAAGGAGAGGGCACAGCGGCCAGGCCCCTCCTTCGTAACCCCTTCCCCGTGGCCGGGGAGAGGATTCTCCCGGCCGCCCGGCAGGACCCCCCACCAAAGGTACGCGAGGACCTGCGACCCACCTGTGCGGCGGATGGACCGTGCACGCTTCTCCGCTGATCCGACGCACAGTGTGCCCACAAGGCCCATTCGAAGTATACTTACGAGAGCGCGCGCGAGCGAGCGAGCGAACGGGCGAGCGAGCGGGCGAACGAACGAACGAGCGAGCGAGCGAGCGGAGGCCCGGTCGTGCGGGCGAAGTGGGACCGCAGAAAATCGTCGGAGGTGGGGGTCGATTCAAGAATCGACGTGGACACCCTCGCCTTCCAAAGTCATTCACCTAACGGTCATCGGCGCGTCAAGAGTCTTCATCTTCTTCCGTTATCCGGTTGCACCGGTCGCGCGAGAGAGCCCGTGTGTCGCGACCTTTCGGCTCGCGCAACAGCAGAAGAGGAAGACGAGAGACGGAGGAGAGGAAGAGCGAGCGCGGGAGGAGGATACGCGAGGTGGAGGTCTCTCTCTCTCTCTCTCTCCGAATCCGGATTGTGGTTCGTTCGCGCGGTGTCGTGATTCGACGACGGTCGTCGTGAAAAACAGACGCCGCCGGACGATGCTCGCCGTCGCGGGAACCTCTTCGCCGCCGCGTCGCGGCTGAGAAATAGGAGACAAGTGCGGGACGCTCGTTGATCGTGGTGCACCTGTCGTGGGATCGCGGCGACGTCGCGTCGCATCCTCGCGGAAGAGACCGATTCTCGCGCGAGTGATCGTCGTCGTGCCTGACTCTGTGCGTCGCGTCGGCGATCGGCGAGTGCCTTCAAGAAGTGTCGGACATTCTCCGAAGTCGAACGAAGTTCCCGAAACGCTCGAAATAGGTGTTTTCACCGAGCAACAGGACGTTCCGCGGACGAGTGCAGGACGCGCGGCGGGAACGCGCGCGCGTCCGCAGGACTCGTGCCTACCTGCCGAGAGGAAGTTCGGCACGTGGCTAACACCGGCGACTCTTGTGCGCGCGGTCAGCAACGCTGGACAATAAGCGAGCATTCGTGGTTGCTCGACGCTCTGTCGGTTCTTCGGGTGATCAGTGTGAAAACAGTGACACTTCACCTCACAGGGACCGACCGCGGTCACTTAGTGGAATTATCGCCCGACGAATCACCGTCGAATGCCGCTCACGTCCGCCCAGCGTTAATTCGTCGTAACGATCAAGGTATGCTATCATCCCCGAGTGCTTTCATCATTGTGGCTACGCTGAGAAATGAGTTCGGTTGGATCTACCTGACTGTGGACAACTACAGGGGAAAAAAATGCTGTTGAATCAATCGAATTTCCGATGTAAATGAGCAGCGTAATTGGGGTAAATTTTCTCACAGTGAAAAATGAGTTTGATCGGATCTACTTGTCAACCGAACGCGCTTTGGGCGACCGAACGCGTTTTCGTCGAAGGAAATCGGGATCTCTTGTAAGAACTTTTCGGTGTGTCTTGATAACAAATATCGTTAAAACTGCTGCGTTATGTATTGTTTCGATAATCAAAGCATTAATTTTAATGGTTCGATAACATTTTTTTCGCACGGACGCATTTTGACTGAAGGAAACAGACTTTCTGGTAGCGAGAACCAAATTTGTTTCGTGAGAACCGGACATTCTGTTTCCCTCAACCAAAGTGTGTTTGGTTATCCACAATTAAATAAATTCGACGAAACTCATCTTGCATCGCTGCCGATCGGAGCATCAAACGCAAGACGAGAGCATTTCACCGTATCCCCGACGCTTTCCTTCGGTAATAGCTGTTTACAAAATCCGTCTAAGAATGTGTTCTCGCGGAACGCACGTGGAAATTGACTCGGATTTAATTAGAGAAATCGAATTGGTCACAAGCTCACCGTGAAGAGACGTGACTCGCCGCGGCCGACGGTGTGTGTCGAAACAGCGAGCGACAAAGTTTCCGAACAAAAGATGCCGAATGCAATTAACGTATACGATATAATTAGCTGATTTAGATTCTTTGTCTAAATTGTATCGGTGATTGTAACATCTAACACGACACGCTGATAGAAAATTATAATTAATTTCGGCGCCAAACATATTTTATAATAGTGGCAACATGCATGTTATCATCACCAACACTCTACTAAAATTTACTAGAGATAAACGAGGTTCTCGTGACAATTTCTGTGGTCAAAGGATATGCGTTTGGTGCCGAAACTAATTATAATTTTCTGTCAATGCACGCGTCAATGCTCGTGTCGTACGTTGGAAAGAACGAAGAGCGGAGGAGCGACGAGAAAGGAATGCCGCGACGAGATCTAGCTTGAGAGACTCGCTTCGTCCTCGTGAACCTGAGGAAGGACCCGCACGGTTTCACCAGCTAGTTCGAATCGTCGGTCGATAGATCGATCCAGCGGACGAACGAACGAACGAGCGAGCGCCGATTACGACAATAGAATCGGAAACAACGCGGGCCCGGCGCGTAACGTCGCGCAACGCGAAGGCCGATCGTTGCGGAGCGCGCGTTGCGGAACGCCGCTCCGTGTCGAAAGAGCGGAAGTTGCTCTTTGCAAACTGGATCGCCGCTCGCCGAGATGAGGTTGCGAGATGAGGTTGCCACGAGGGCGGAGGGTCGCTTCCCCGCGGGAATCGCCGATCGGTCGGCACGCATCGATCGGTTTTAGGCGAACCGCTTCGCACGCGCGGCCGATAGAGCGATCGATGCCTCTTCTTCTCGATAATAGTCGACCGGGCGACTTGTAATCAGTAAGCGAGAGAAACGGCCGTCGGGTCGCGGCAGCCTCGGCGCGCGATCCCGGGATGAACTCGGCTCGGACGCCCGGAAAAATACCGGGCCGCTACTTTTTACTGCGAATATCCCTGACATAATGACAGTTGAAATGGGCAATAAAGGAATAACCGACCACCGGGCGGTTGAGCATCTGCGCTATTGGACCTACACTGTCGTCGTTTCGCTCGTTTCGCTCGAGCTTGTTTTTTGACCGGTCGGCCGAGAAAAGAAAACGAGCTGCTTTTGCCGGTAGAAAAATTATTCAATGGAAATACGTAGGTGTGGTCGGTCGCATAAAAGTTGCAACACTTTTTTCTCGACGAGTGTCACAACGCCTCTCGTATTTAATAGGAATGGGTGTGTGTCTCCTGAAAATGAGTAAAAAAAAATCAAATTCTTCTACTTGACGCCGGATGCATCCCGAAACTTGTACAAAGAAAGTGCTGCGAACTTTTTGCGACCGATCATACGTCAAAAAGTGTCGCGGCTTTTTGTGATCTTTTCGTGATCTCGTCTATAGGGTCGAGTGTTTGTGCATCTGTAGTTTTGGGTAAGTGGCAGAAAACGAGGAATTGTTGCCGAGCCGGAGACGATTTTCGATCCTCCGATACTTTTTCTCGGCTCTTCCTTTCTTTCGAGAATGCACCATTGTTACCGCGTGTCGTAAACATTAATGACAATCTGACTCCTTTACTATTTCTAGACATTCGACTTTATAAGTTATAAAACTTTTGATCCGGCAACCGTTACATTGTACAGTTATAAGGATATTTACGTAACTTATTTTGCAATCGTACGGTATACTATTTTTTATCAATCACTCATGATTGTCACCAATATTCTGTATATGTGATGTATATTCAATATACGTCACGATCTAAAGACGTAGCTACACAGTAAAAAAAACATTTTGTACTTGTGTTAAAATCGGTCCTAGTTGAAATTTTTGTGTTAAATAGTTTAACATACCTGTGGATTAATTTAACACACTGTGTTTATGTTATCTCAATATATTTTGTGTTGTGTCGATATTCAACATGCGTAAGGATTAAAACAACGCATATTACACTTAATCGATGTCGATTAACGTATTTAATTCGTTGTTAATTCTCGACGTAATATTTGCGTTATTTCCCAACATATATTCACCTTATGTTAAATCAATACGAACGTTTCAGTTCCCCATTTGGGACATGCAAAATGTGTTAAATCAAACCGAAAATTTCTTACCTGTGCCTGACTCTCCTTAACTTGAAGTTTCGCGCTTCTTCACTTCGTCGTCGCTCCCGCCGCAAAGCCGCGCGCGACGATTCCTCTCCACCGTTGACCAGTTACTCGATCGATCGCCGATGTTCCCGATGAAAGAAGAGAGCTTGAGAGCGATTTCTTCGCGTTGCCGCGGGTGCCGCGACAACGGGGTCGATTTTTCCCGCGAGGATGTCTCGCGTCGAGAAGGTCAGCGCGAAGGAAAAGGAGAAGCGAGAGCGCGGCCCGCGCGGAGGAATCACGAGGATCGATCGCGTCCTGACAACAGTCTCCCTCGCTCTCGTGCGCGTCGAACGTCTCGCGCCTCGCAGTCATCGTCAATAATCGTCGAGGACTTCGCGAGCCGCGGGAGTCGTTACGATTCTCACGGCTCGCTCCGGTCTGCCGCAACAATCGCGCGCGGTCCGCAAGGTCAGTCCTCGTGGCGGTCCCCGACGATCTTGACGATGATCGTTGCCGCCGAGATCCGCTCTCGGCGATAATCCGAGCCGCGGACGCGTCGGTTTCTCTCTCTCTCTCTCCTCTCCTTCTGCCAAGTAGACGGCCGCTTATTAAAGAGCACCTTTGCGCTCGCGCCGATCGGTGCGACCACGCGAATCGAAGATATCTGGCTTTTATCGGCGAGATCGAGTTCGCACGCTCGTCGCCGAGGAAGAAGCGCGCGCCGGATGACTCTCGGAGTCACGCGCTTTTCTCGCCACGGCGGCGCTTCGTTATGACGAGTCGTAAAAAGAACGGTCGCGTCGCGTCGCCGGCGAACGTGAGCGCGCGTAGGTAACGATCTTCGCGGAGGAAATTGGAAGGAAGATGACACGTACGTGGCTCGCGATAATAGCTCGTAATCTTAATCCCGCGTGCAGAGTCGCGGGCTATTACGATTACCCAGCCGTGAATCAGCTATTTACATGCGCCGGCCGCGGCAGGAGCGGCCAGGCAGATCGGCGTAACAAGTGCGCGTCCACTTATCGTCGTCGCCGGGAATAATTGCGAAATCCTTGTTCGAGACGAATAGTTCTCGCGGAGCGAAGCGGACGGACGGACGAATCGGCCGTTCGTCGATCGCGCTGGGCAGAGCCACGTGGGAGATCGATATTCCGAAATTAAATCAAGGTTGATCGATGAATTTCAAGTTTGTTCGACACATTTCGCTCAGGAATTCCACAAGCGCGAAGTCTGAGGTATTTTCCTTTCTTTCGAAACACTCTCTCGTTTCTCTCCACGCGTCGATTTCGGAATCGCGGTCGCTCGAGATTAAGCGCGCACGCGTTATCCCGAGTCGAAATTTTGATCCTACATTAATCCTATAACGACAATGTAAATTTTTAACGTGCCCAGGAAAGTGGAGTCGGACGGTCCCATGCTTTGTTTTGTTCATTTCCTATGTAATCTATGTACAAAGTGGATGAAAGATGTAAATAATAACATAAAATATTCTTTAAAAAGAGAAACAGCGCACACGCTGTAAAATAAACGAATGGGTCGCATCCGACCCCAACTTTATGATATGAGAATTAAGTCTACTTAGTTCTACATCAAGCCTTCAAGTGGAGAAAACAAAGAATAACTTCCCACTTGTAACATCAATAGAAGACCTCTGATAACTTAATGTAGAACTAAATAGATGTAATGTAGAGTGAAAATTTCCACTCGGGGATATAACACAGACACGAAATCTCGAGCGATCGCGATTTCGAAATCGACGCGTAGAGAAAAACGAGATGTATTTCGACAGAAAAAAAAAAAGAGATACTTCGCGTCGTCGAATTCATAAACGGAATTTGTCAAAGAAACATGCGACTCGATTAGCCGAAATTTGCAATTCGATCATTCTGAGTTGCTGAAATTAGTTCGACGGCTTTTTGATACGCAGAACCTTGAAACTTGTTGATATCTAGAGCCTGACCCGCGCTGGTTCCATTAGATCAGATCTAGCGACATTGTGCCTCTACCTGTTGCGACACCTCGGCGCGATAACAATATCGCTGTGGCATCGCGATCGTATCGACATGGAACACACGCCGCAGGTATCCCACCTGAGCGAGTTACCTGTTACCGGATGCGCGCCTTCGATCAACGCAGGTTGCTGTCGAGCAGGCGTTGCGAAACCGGACGCGTTTCATCGCTCGGCTCCGATCGAACTCGCGGGGCTATCGGGGAGTACGGAAATCGTGAGGTTGCGCCGAATAATTCGACTGCAATTGAGAAACGCCGGGCGATATCGCTCGGTTTTGTCGCCGTCGAGCGCCACCGAGCAAGCCGCCGCGACACGCCAGTTTTTCGCGAGCGCGTTAGAAAAATAGCCGCTACCTGTGGCGACACTGCGATCACGTAAGAAGAGATATCGCGACCGATCTCTCGCGGCGCATAATAACGCCCCGACGACTGTTATTCGGGCGATATCGCGAAACAAATTCAGGCGAAGTCTATTCGTCGCGCCTGGCGGGTGCCGCGCGCGGCTTACGTCCGTGTTAGCGATTATCGCGCGTCGTCACGGAGAGAAGCGACGACGACGGCGAAGGAGAAGGAGGAAAAGGGAAGGAGGATGGAGGAAAAAATACAAACGCGGAATTAAAGGCGCGAGCAAGCAGACGGGCGGGCAGGTAGGTACGTCGCGCGGCAGAAGCGGCGGCGGCATCCGCGAATGATAAGTGTCAACGGCAGTGGGGTGTAGGTCAGGAGAGAGAGACTCCGTTGGTCAAACAAAGTCGATGTCTCTTCCATTAGTTGAGATTTACTTTCCCATTTAGCGACAGTCCGTCACGTATGAAAGTCGACGCCGGTGGGCACGGTTGTGCCCTCGGGCCGCCGCAAACATCTGGGTCACCGCTATTGTCCCATATTCGTGAACCCCTGACATTTCGGTGGCGGAGAAAAAAGAAAAGCGCCGGGGAAACGTCAGGGGGGACGTTCTCGCGCGTGAACGAACGCGCCCTGGACGAAGCGACGGAGAAGAGGAGCGCGAGAAAAACGGCGAGGGAAGAGGAATGAGAGGACCGAGTCGAAATTTTAATCCTGCTCCAAGTCGAATTTAGTTCCACATTAAGTATTCTATTGTGTTTCCCCGATGCTACAAATGGAGAAATGATTGCCGTTTTCTCCACTTGAAGACACAATGCGGAATTAAAACGTGGACTCTGGGGAACTAAATTTCCTTTGTAGCTCCTTGAAGGAGCGGTTTATCGCGCTCCTTTGATACCACAAATGGGAACCCGATTTCCGTTTTCTCCACTTGAAAATGTCGACCCGGGGAGGTGTCGCGGTACGAATAATCGCTGGATCGCGTTTCATTTCCGACCGGCATCGCTCGTCGCTCCGTTGGCCTACGCAAATGCGCGTTGTGCAAGGCATGGCGGGGAATAAAAGCGACGAGGTGTGAAAACGAGACCGCGGAGCCACGGTCCGTTTTCTGGACGATCGGCCAAAGAAGGCGAAAGGAGCCGGCGGCGGCGACGGTATTGAACGAGCGAGCGTGCGAGAAAGAGAGCAAGACCGAGCGACGGAGCGGGAGAAGAAGAAAAAAAAAGAGCAAGCGCAAGAGTTTTCCGCTCGTTGAACGTAACACGCACCGCTTTGCCACGATCCAGCGATTCGCGCGCGAGCGCGACCCGTGCCGCGGCGCATTATGCAACGCGCTTCTTCTCTTACTCAATCGGCCGATCGGTGTAGGCGCGCTCGCGATAAAGATTGCATCGCCGACTTGTCAAAGGTACGTCAGGCCGATCTGCTTTTCGCTTCCGTCGTGTGGGAGGAGGAGGAAGCCCCGTTACGTCGCGCGATTGTTTCGCTGCGCGACGCGCGCGTTTCGCCGTCTCCACCAGCTCTTCATATTATTTCGATATCTATAATCGCGGGATCCGGATTGTTTCCTGTATTTCTCAACGACGATCACTACACGTACAAACCGTGCGGGATAATACATTCAATAACGCGATTGATATAGCGAGTGCGGCTGCCGGAGTGGAAATGACAACTGGAAGCATGACTTGGTGGCGCGATGTAACGTTGCCGATGAGGACAATATTCGAGGAAAATCTTAGTTCGCCCACTGATATCTTGATTCCCGCCCGTTAACGGCATCGTCATTATCCGAGTCGAAATCTCAGTTCTGCGTTAAGACTATTTAATTCTGCATTGGGTTTTCAACAGGCTCCTGTTGTACTTCTTTCGATGTTACAAGTGGGAAGTTACTCCCGTTTTCTCCACTTCAAGACTCAATGTAGAATTAAAAATTTCCTGTCCGTGAAGTCTAAATTCTCTTTGTAGCCCCTTTGATGCTACAAATGGGAAGCTATTTCCATTTTCTCCACTCGAAGACTTCATGTAGAAGTAAGTAGACTTAATGTAGGACCAAATATTCCGACTCGGATATTTACTAACTTCTCGAAATGGACATATATAGACCAATGTGTTCCTTCTCTCTCTCTCTCTCTCTTTCCCTCTTTCTCTCTTGTAGACTACAAATTCAATGAATCCAATTCGACTGACTAATCTCACGGTCTCACGCAAAACTCCGCGTGTGATTATCACGTTCGGCTACCGTGTACACCGCGTCGACGCGAAGTCCCACGGAGACTGATTTACCTCGACTCGGTAGGAAGATTGAAGATTTCGAGGAAACAGCACACGACGTACGACGGGGAGAGCACTTTAGGAAGGTCGTGAGACAATTTGCGTCAACAACAAGCGAGTCCCTTCCTGTCGAATAGAATGATACGCACGAGATTCATTGACTATCTGTAGATGCTTACGCACTGAGCGCGACAACACCGAGGAAACGATTGAGATCTTCCGTGCGCAGAGTGGAGGAACGGCCGAGTTCGCGTATCCAAAGCGAATTTGGCGCCTAAAGTAATTGTTTTTTTTGCGTACCGAGCCTCCTCGACCGACGGGATTGAAAATCAACCTTAATAACAATCGTCGTTTCTCTGTTGCAGATGAATCAGCAGTGCAAGGTATGCGGTGAGCCAGCGGCTGGTTTCCACTTCGGTGCGTTCACCTGCGAGGGTTGCAAGGTGAGTCTAGCCGCGGACCTCGTTTTCCATATTCTTTAAAATATCCTTCTATCGAATATCGCGAAAAATTGCCGACAACACGATCGAGTTCCCTTGAAATTTCGATCTGAATACCTCAGACTGTTGTGCTAAACTGGATATACAAACAAGAAATGAAGAACAAATGTAAACTTTCGTTGTTACAATTTAAAAAATCTGTATGCTATAACGAATTCGAGCAGAACGTTTCGGGCCGATTTGCTTATAAGACGGTTTATCAAAAAAAGTTCGTGCGCGTTTAGGCGCGAATATACACGTTCATGTTACATATTCGCGAATATATACATGTTACATGCTCGTTCATTGATTTAGTATATATAGTTTTCGCATTGATCCGTTTTCTGAATACACGTATAAAGTTTACATTTTAAACATTTAGCTTATATCCGCTTGAAAACGCCTGATGGGAACTATTTCGATATTAACTAAACGTTGAATTTTCTTTTCTTTTCTATTAAAATTTATTTATATGCAAAATCTTCTCAAGCTACATGTAAGACGATTTTTCTATTTTGTCGAAACTTCCGTATTAATGAAGGGACAGCGAAACGAATATTTTCCTTCGTTAGTGAACGATACACATTTTCAAAAGCACGCGTAATTACGATATTACTTGATCACGCGTAAACATATATGCTAGATACACGTTTAAACATATTGTCGTTCAACTGTATTTTACACGGAAAGTACCTAGTTATCAGCGACCACGGCTAAAAACTGACAACTGCGTTTCAGTTGTATTACATAAACAACTGATTCCTCTTTTCCGCGCAGACCCTGGTATATATTTTACGCGCGCGGTAAAAAGAAACGGCCGTTGGCTTGCAAGAGACTCGGGACGTATAAAAAATGCCCGTCGTAACTCGAATCCAGCCGATCGCTCGGCTGTGTCCCATTACCTATCACGCTGCTCGCCCGCCGATCGTGAAACCGAAGTCCTCTCGTCTCGTAACCGAGCGTTACACCAAGTCCGTCGCCGCGAACGAAGACGGACTCGCGTTCCGGAATCGCTCGGGCTGGCCAGCGGCCGTGAAGGGGGATCGATCTCGCGGTCGAAAAAGCGCGTCGCGTCGCGTCGGCGATCGAGAGGAAAGAACCTCGCTCCTGATCCACCGCTCTAATAGCGGAGTTTTCCTCGGCCCGTTCGCGCTTTTTCTCGGCGTACGCGCCGCTCCGCACCGGCGCCCGGCGACGCTCTTTCCCGCGGTTTCGCAAAGGCCCACCGAGCGATCGCTTTCACGAGGCTCGCTCCGTGGCCGAGGTTAAACGTTCGGCCAGGCATGCGTGTCAACCTAGCCCGGCGGGGGGTCGAAAGCAGCGAACGAGCGCGCAGCACGCACGCTTCCGCGCGTGCGATTCGATTCGATTAAAAAAAAAAAAAAAAGGGGAAAGAAAAAACGAGCGAGGCGATCTGCGCGCGCGGTGCATCAGCGAGCGACGAGCGGCCGTTCGCACGAAGCGTGAAGCGAGCGAGAAAAACGGGAACGGTAGCGACGGCGGACTGAGCAAGCGGGGGAGGGAAGGGGAGCGCGGAGGATCGCGGAGGTGGGAGACCTGACATGCTACGATGGGCCTGAAAACGAAAATAACGAAACGAAACAATGTCGTGCTGACGTAACCGTGAACTAGGGCGGAAACAATTGTGGCGGACAAGTGCGAAGCGCCGGAAACGACGTCTCGAGGCGGCCCGGCGATCGGAACGGAGAAGAGGGGGCCCCCCTCGCGTGCGCGGCCCTTCTCCCTTTTCCTGTTGAATAACGCGCTTAGCGATCGTAATGCGAGCTCCTTTGCGCGTGCTGTTACGAACTCGACGTGTAAACGAGCGAACTTTTCCCTTCTTAATTTAGAAACGGCGGTTCTTCCTCACAAAATTCGCTCCAGATTCATTTATTGATATGAAGAACAAAGTTCGAATCGGCCTGACAGTGAACGAGCCGAAAGCGTTTCTGTTGAAGAAAACTGAATTTCCGGTTAGAATTTTTCGTAAGAGCCGAATTTGCTACGTAAGGAGTGGAAATTCTGTTTCTCCCAATCAAAACGCCATTAGTTCGTTTATCGTCCGGTTAGTTTAAGCCATTTTTTTCACGTATCAAATCAATTAATAACAATCAAATTTAATTGAATTGGGATAATTCCGAGTTGAAAGATTCCGATTCGAGCTGCCTTGCGAGCGTCTTCTCCGCGAGCGCATGTATCAGAACGAATCTTGGGCCCGGGAAACCAAAATCCGAGAAATCCGCGTTAGCTCGGGATGCCCGATGCCACGAAAACGAACGTAGCGTGGCTTCCAAGTAGGGCCGTTTGCATAACTTGAAACGTGCGCGCAGGGGGGGCTCGGGGAAAAGGGAGTAACGTAATAACGGTAGCATTTTCTCAATTGTGTCATCGCTTCTGAAGCGTCGCGCGTGTCCGCGTCCCTCTTCGCTCTCGACCCCTCGCGAGCAGATCTTCGCGCAAGCGACGAAGGAGAAGAAGAAGGTGGAGGACGACGAGGACGATGACTGACGACGGCGACGTCGACAGCGAAAACAAGTAGAACGCGGTGTCAGCCCATAGGTCTCGGCAACACGCGCATCGGGACCACCAGGCCGCAGGAAGAGCTCGTTTCCAGGACAAACGAACCAGAAACAATTAATAATATAGCGTGCGTACGGGCAGAAAAAGCGAAAGTGGACAACGCGCGCGCGCGCGCACCGTCCCTCTAAACGCCCGCTCGATCCGCCCGATGTGACGGCCCGAGCGACATATAAATCGCGGCGATTGGGAAATTCTAGCTATCAATTCAAGCGAGGCGAGCTGAAACCCGCAACGATCCGCGCCGCGGAAAAGTGAACAGGTCGCGACGGCGATAAATCGCAGTGATAAATCCGTTTAAGTCCATTTAACGTCCCATTTGGCCGCGTCGGAATTCACTTTGTGATAAGAGGAAAATGAATATCAGGTTCTCTCCGAGACATAAACACTCATGGACCGGAAAAGTGCCGTAATGCACAGTGCCGTGATACACGTAATAAAATTTTGTACAGTTAAAACGTTCCAAACTGAAATCTTATGTTACTTTAACGCCGGGTATATATTTAAAGAAGTACACAAATATAATGTTAAATTAACACATTCACCTTGTCAACATATGTGGACCGTTTTCAATACAAAATTTTTTACTGTGCAGTCGTGCCCGGCTAAGATATACTTATATAGTCGAAAAAATTTCGAAGCAGTACGGGAAATTTTGGAAAGTAACGCTTCTCATAGAAGAGCATACACAGTAGCATTATAAGTTATACAATATAGCTACCACCCGAGATAAAATTGTTATCCATTACTCATTTGAGACATTAGAAATAACGCGTAATTCAAGCTCGAAAATGCACATATCAGTATGGGACATTTTTTTACTTTTCTAAAATACTTTCTTACATGTGTGATGATAAATTTATATGCAATTCATATTAAAATTAAAGTTAAATCATAATTAAAATCAATGTTGAAAATATATCTGATCAAACTATTCGTTCATTTTTTGCTGTCATGTATAAATTTTAGCTTCAGCATGAATATATCCTATTCGCGCAATATAAATCTAGTAAATTATGCTACTAGTATGATATATTATAAAAATTTTTAAATGATAATTTTTATACATTTAAATTTTTATAAATTTAAAATATTTTTATAATATTTATAATTTATAAATAATATATAAATTTATAATTACTTTTTATATTTGTATTTATATTTACTTTATTATTATTTTTATAGCAATTTATAAATTTTTAATTTATAAATATTACGAAATAAAAATTTCCTACGTGTGAGTCATCTCGACTGGGAAAGAGAGAGAGAGAGAGAGAGAGAGAGAGAGAGAGAGAGATACGAGATAATGACGTTTCCACGCGTTTGTTTAGCGCGACAACGCGACGAAAGAGAGGAAGGAAAAATGCGGGTGAACACGATCGCGAAGAGCGAGCGGGGGCCGTTGCTCTCCGGGCATGAAAGCAACGAGAGCGTTGTGTCGGAATCACGTGGAATTGCACCATTTGGGCAATTAGCACGAGAACAGCAAGCCGCACGCGCCTTCAACCGCGGACTCCGCCATACCCCGCGCCTTCTCGCTCACCATGAATGAGACAACGAGAGCGTACGGTTACACACTAACGACTCGGCGTTGCGCTCGTTACAAGTGTTACAATGCCGCTGTGCAGTGTCGCGTCTCTAGTTTCCAAGCCACCCGACTCAACGCCTTCGCCGAGACGCGAAATTAATCTCTATGGATGACCCGCGCTGACTCAATAATGGATCTACGCGAAAAAAAAATTTGTATCGATTTATGATTCATATTCTCACATATAAGCAAATATAAATAATCTTATATGAATATAAAACTTTTGCTCTTACACGAGAAACGAAATTCTATAGTTTCGCTAAAAATATTACGTTCTCATTATTCAAAAATCATTTTTATAAATCGAGAGAGAAAAATATTAAATAAACAGAACTAATACAATTCTCTTTGTTTGAAGATACCTTTCTACCAAATATTTTTTTCTTTTCAATTTATGAAAACCGTTTTTAACTAACACGAATGTATCCTTGTGGAACTATAATATATAAAATTTCTTCATATAAGAACAAATTTTATCTTCATATAATTATGTATTTTTATTTATATAGGAGAATACGAGTTTTGAATTGATAGAAATGTTCTTCTTTATGTAGATAATTAATTTTGCTCAGTGAAAATATCGCGAATAATGCAGTAATATTTAAACCGGGGATGTCAGTGTTGAAATTCTTACAGAATTACGCGCCAAGAAATCATCATCTGCATCCAGTCGAATTACCGTAAAAGAAACCCGTTCACACGTACTCTCCCTCCGTCCGTCACGCCCGCGCATTCTCGAGCGTCTCGAGTCCGATATTAATTTCTAATTCGCGTGAGGGCATCTCGCGCTCTATGGCACATTAACGCTAATTGGCCCGCGCGTTTATGTTGCAGTCCTTCTTCGGGCGATCCTACAACAACTTGAACAGCATCGCCGAGTGCAAGAACGGTGGCGAGTGTGTCATCAACAAGAAGAACCGCACCACTTGCAAAGCTTGCCGTCTGCGAAAATGCCTTTTCGTCGGGATGTCCAAGTCGGGCTCGCGGTATGGTCGCAGGTCCAACTGGTTCAAGATACATTGTCTGCTGCAGGAGCAGCAACAGCAGCACCAGCAGCAGCTGCAACAACACCAGCAGCAGCAACAGCAGCAGCAGCAACAGCAGCAGCAGCACCACTACCAAGCGGGTATCTCCGGTCAGCAGTTGCAGCTGCCGCAGCAGCAGCAACGTAAGCCGACGAGTCCGCCGATCGCAGTTCACGGTGGCCAACGCAAGGACGAGGTTCACCTGCTCAGCATGGACGACTACAAAAACTCGAGCTCGCCGAGCATCAGCTCGCCCGAGTCCCTCAACAGCGACAACTCGGTCGACGTGTCCGAGAGGCGAGCCGCATACGCCGGCCACCCGGGTTTCCGGCCGCTGCACCCGCACATGCAGCACTCGATGGCCGATCTCTCCGTCCTGAGCAAGGAGATGATGAACCTGCCGCTGAGCTTCCACCTGGGCGGTATGTCCCTATTGCCGCCCACCTTCCTGCCGCCGCCGGGCCTCACCATGTTCCCGCCGTATCACCTCTACGCGACGTCGCCCGCGGCACCCCATCCCCTGGTGGCGCACCAGGCGTCCAATATACTGCGGCACTCGCCGGCAGTGAACGACGAGCACAACGGCTCAACGAGCTCGACGGTGACGTCCGCGACGGTAACGTCCGCGGCGACGACGACGACGACAGCGGCGACGACATCGAGCGTCGCGGCGGCTCCTCCGGTCGACGACAAGGAGGATTGCGAGAGCAACGCGAACAACAACAACGACCAGTCGGAGCACAATCACAACGTGCGCGCCAGCCGGGACAACGCCGCGTCCCCGGAACATGAGGAGCACTACACGAAGCGATTCTACCTGGACAGGGTGCTGGAGAGCCAACGGGCGTCGTCCGAGAGGTCGCCGACGCCGGTAAATCCGCGGTCCTGCGACGCAGCCTCGCCCGGTTGCGCCTCCGAGCAGGAGGCCGATTATCTGCTGCAGCAGGAGCAGCCGATGGACCTGTCCATGAAGGGCACCTCGACGACCACCACCTGCGCCAGCGAGCATTCGGAGGATCAGGAGAGCGCGAGCGACGAGGACGACTCGCCCGAGAAGAGACGGAGACTCCCGATAGACTTGACGACGAAATCCTAAGAGCGGGAGGGACGACGACGCGATTCAAACGAGATTATTCGATCGGGCCCGTTTAATGCATGTTTCTTGTTGTCGCACTGTATCTTTGTTTTACCGTATGAAGTTTGTGATATTTACGGCCGCGCGTCTGCAGCCGTAGCCGCAACGAAGCTCCCGCTCGAGACACTCTCGGATACCGGGTTCGGGGTAGCGATCACGTAATTTTTTCCCTAGGAAATATGAAAAGTGAAAGGAGGATTGCGAAAGCATTTTCGAATGCTTCCAAGTTCGAGAATCCTGACTTACTCTTGAGTCGCACGCGTTTACACGCTAGAGGACAAAATTCGCAACTCCTGCAAGTCGATCGTGAATCTTTTGCTCTCTACACGGAGAAAGTATTGTGGTAAAAATTACCACAGAAGTTTGTTATGTCGGACTATATTGGGTTTATAACTGAAATTATAAGTATGATGTAATATTTAGCGATGTATTTCATTATATACATCGCTAAAGATTGCACACATAATAATTTCAGTCATAATTCCGGTATGGTCCAGCAGTAAAAAATTTTGTTGTAATTTTTATCACATTATTTTCTCTATGTGAATTAGTAAAAAAAAAAATATGGAAATTTTATAACTTAAAAGCACTCGGAAATGTTGACTTTTCACGTTTCTAGCCCAGAGAAAATTAGCGCGCTCGTGATCGCGATTCCATGGAGAAGCTCGTGTCCAACTGAAAACTCAGATCCGGATGTCCCGCGTGAGACGAGTCCCAGGCAACGGCTACAGACACGGGCCTTAGCCGCGAATTAGATAGTAGACGTGTTTCTTATATGTATATCGTATCATATTTTAGGTGGTAGCGCCTATCTGATGAGTTAAAGCGTAGTGAACTCGTAGACACACAGGTGTGCGAGTGCTCGCGGCCGTCGGACTGAATTTCGCGTCGTCTCGGCGCGACGCCCGGGGGAACTGTCGCGGCGCTGTGTACGACTCGGATCGCACGAACGTGGATTTCCAAACGACATAACCCGGTGTCTTCGGGTCGTCGCGGATCTCCCGCGCAATCTCGTCCATCTCGTGGCTGAGCGACGACCTCGAACACGAGGACGGTCTTCGCCAATCGCGACGCGAGACCTGCGCGCCTTGGAGCGGAGTCTTGACACGCGTATATTGGAAGCTCGTCGCAGCGTCCAACATAACGAGAGACGGAGGACTTCTCACGCTCCTGCTGTCCTATTTCCCGCAATCGCCTCGCGCAAGCGCCCAGATGACTTTGGTAACACATGCGCGAGAATAAATAGATATCTAACGCCTTTAGATATGTATCTATCCATGATCGCATCCTTCGAGCAATGCGGTAACATTGCTCGAGTTAGCGGCGCTCATTACACGGGAGCCAAGGTTGAGACGCGTTCCGATTAAACTTGACTGTTTCCACTTGCTCGCGAGATTTCCGATCCGTCTCGGAGACGATCCGAAATGTGTGTTTTGGGGCAAGTCCGACTGACGGGACGCGGAATCGTTCGAAAGCGCTCGGAGACCTTTCCCAAAAAGTTCCGTGACAGTCCCCCCCCCCTCCCCTCCGGCAAGTTCGAGTCTCTTCGAGACAAATATGGATGTTGATTATTTCCGGTTATATCTCGTTACCTTTATCATATTTTAACTTAACGTTAATTTAAAAAAGAACATCGTACGATCTTAGGAGAGTTTTTGTAATACTTAACAGAGTTGACGGATAAACTTGACGATGTAACGCGGGAGTAATCAGAAAATCCGATGAATTTCCGTATGCGTAATCCTGAGGAGGATAATCGCCAATCAGCGAATTACCTGGAAATATCGAATACGCGAAATTGTTCAAAGTAATTCGAAGACGACTGAATTGATCGAACGCAACGATTAAATCTTGAGTCAAGCTCGATTTACATAATTGGACTTTTAATTCGACTCAATTGTTGCGAGTACCTGCATGTGTCACTAACAGAAATAATTTTATTTATATACCGACGACGACAAGATTATCTATATCCCGATATACGCGATAAATCCGCGATAGAGATACGTATCGATGAATAATTACGACGTGAAAATCGAAAGCATTCTTTGCGTGTGAATGAGACGTAGCTACAACGTCCGAGAGCCTCACCGCAGAGCATCGCACGAAAAACACAAAAATAACCGAGGAGTATAAAATGTAACTAAATCTAACAATGCGCGATCGTGCATATCGCGAAAGGAGAAATGTCGGGCGGTTGTTCGCGACAGGAACGCGACGCTCAGATCCCGAGAAGCTAAAATCGTGGACATCGACGGCATCCATGAAGACCGTTACTTTTCGGACAAGTTATCATCTTATCTTCTAAATAATTTTGTAAATGTTATTTTTCCAAGTGTTTTTCTCCTAAATATTTTTGAGATGAAAAACCAACAATGTTAATATATTATTTTACTAATATATCATTATATCTATCCTTTTTCATTAATATATCACAATATATATAATAATTATAAAATTATATTATAGAAATTAGAATAACGCAGGGATGGGAGTAGCTCTTTCAGACACGCTCACTGATACAAAACGACGTAGGTAAATGATGAATCTGAGGTCGATGAGTTACGATATTGAGTCAATGATGAATTTAAAAATACGTCCCGGAGACGTCTGAAGACGCAGTTGCCACTCTTCACCGACGCCGTCGATACAGTTCCGCGTGCTTCGCCTTTGTGTTTCGCCGACCGAAATTCCTCAGAAATTCCCCCAAACAACGGGAATATCCCCCCCTCCCCCCGTTCGCGGAAACTCCGTAGGGAAGCGCGGGTAGGTCAGGACCGCAGATTAAGAAATTTTCCAGAAGATTAGGAAGAGGCGCGTACACAAAAGCACTGGGCCACGGTTTCGCGTAATCTCCGTGAGAAGGGAGCGACTTCCTACCTGAGCGTCGCGTTTTCTCGAACGAACACTCGCGAATTAATCAGCTGGCGCTCCGGACTGATAAGAACCGCCGGGCATTACGCGCGTACTCGCGCCGCGTGAACGGCGGAGTTTCACGGCAGCCCTTAATTAGCTTCTCGCGCGCATCGACCATCGCCGAACTCCCGTGACCTCTTCCGGATGATCCGATCATATGTACGTACGTAGGTTCGCTCGCTCGCTCGCACCTTCGGCCGCGAACGCTTGAGCACGCGTGTTCTGCTCGCCGCGCGGGGAAAAAATCACGACGGCCGACGTCTCAATTCCGAGGTGAGCGAGCCGCCGATCGATCCTCGCTTGCGCAACGGCCAATCGACTTTAACGAGATTCCACCGTTTTAATTAACGAGCGCTCGCTCGCTCGCGGTAATCACGCGAGACAGCGCGCGCCAGACGAAGACGAACGACGAAGGACGCGAGCGTCGCCCGATAAACACGTCGCAACGTCGGGCGTGCGTGCGTGCGTACGTACGTACGTACACGTGTTCGCACGTACGCTACGCACCCTGCGTACACGTGTGCACGACGTCGGTAGCCGCACTTTATCTTACAAGCGCGCGACGATGTCGTTTCCGCCGCTGCTCTCCGCACCGGCCGGTCTTCCCCGTCGTGTCCTTCCGCAATGCTTCGCTTGTCGGCGAAAAGGCGAGAGGATATCATGGAGAAGCGTGTCCTGCGTTTAGGACACCTGCTAATGGACGATGAAACGTCCACGGAATTTGAATTTCGCGGAATAACGATGAATTTCTAATCTTTATTTATTTATTTCTTTTTTCTTTTTTGAGAAATCGGTTCTATAATCGTTGAATTCCTGTTACGTTGTTTTCCAAATTTAATCCAACCAATCGGCCAGTTTGAGAAGGACGAGAAAGACGTTCCAAACTGACGGTCACGTTTGTAATTATTTTTGTTAATTTAGGATTCAGCAGGCTCCCCCCTGCCTCTACCCTTAATGTACAATTGTCGAATGAATTCAGGCAAGCACAGCCGGAGTAACGCAGTTGCAAGTGCTTTGGCTCTTGCCTGAAATCGTGCTGCGTGAAATCTTTTCGTCAGATGTCGTTTGACTTACCGCTGCAGGTTACTCAGGTAGAGCAGAAAATCACGATAACGTGAAAGTGACATCGAGAGGACGAGAAAGTGAACGAATTATGGATCGAGAAGCGAGTCATTTTCTCATCATTTTCACGCCGTCAAAATCATCGTCGTGATCTTCTGTTTTATCTGGGTGGTGCGTAATTATTTATACTTTGCGCACTGGTGGTGTGTCAAGCATAACCCTGCGTTGAAACGTGACGCCCGGACTAACGTTCAATCGCATTGATGTACTTTTTCCCCACGATTCCGATGCTCGAGGACCGCTCGAGGAATCCGCCTGTCGCGAGAACGGCTCCACGCGAGGATTCTCGAGCCACGAGCATCGAGAATTTCGGGGAGCCATTCTCTCCCCGCGCTCGGCCCGGGTTCTCACAGGTGTGTCACACGGGCGAGATACTTCGCCCGTCGTTTTGCTCAGCGGCGGACACAGCTTCGCTTTTAAGACGCAGTCGCGACACAATTTGTAGACCCGACTCGCGACCGGTAGTATCTTTCTGGAATTTAAGGCGGTCCGCTTGCAAAGCACACACGCGGTGCGCCCGCGTTCGGTGCACGAAGAAATCGTCCACATCTCGTGTGACTCGTATCGGCGGCCGGCGTGTCCGAAGATCGACGTCCTGAGATTTTCATCGCGCCGAAGATAAGAAGGAGAAGCCCGGTTTTACAAGCGCCTCGACGAGATTTCAAACTGCCGTAGAATCGTAAAATAATTTCGCGAAGTAAAAAGTAAAACGGAACTCGGATGCGGTAATGAAAGACGATATTCATAATCCTTCTTGTACTTAAGAGATCTTGTACTTAAAATCTCCGAATAGAAGTTTTAAATTCTACGTTAAGTCTTCGAGCAGAGGAAACAAACAGATTTCCATTTGTCTTTGTAAAAAAGCGCAATAAGTGCTTCTTTAATGTTACAAATGGGAGTTGAGACCTCCTGAGTCTAAGTTTTAGTTCCACGTTAAATCTTCGAGTAGAGAAAACGGTGATAACTTCCTACTTGCGACGTCGAAGAAGCGTTTATCGTGCACTTTAGATGCTACAAGTAGGAACTTATTTCCATAGAATATCATTACTTCGAAGACTTAATGTAGAACTAAACTAGACTTAATGTAGGAAAAATGTCGACTCGGGTCGTCTCTTAAATTGGCCCCGAGATGACGCGCAGCCAACGAAAACGGCCGTCGCAGCACCCGAAGATGAACTTAAAAGGATCTTAACTATAAGATCGGACTACGAATACCGCCCACGTAATTACCGTGAGTTACGAAAGCGAAATTGTGCTCCGTTGCAAACGATCCCGAGCTGACCCGCGCGATGAGAAGCGGCTCGCCGTCATTATCGTCGTCGTCGCCGCTTCCAGGTAAATACTCGAGAATCTTGCGATCAAACGCGATCATAAGTTATAATAAGTCCGTGAGATTCGTGTACATAAAGTCTGTATATACCGGGTAGACATAGAATCGTTTCCTCCCCCGATGTCAGTCTCATAGCGACAATCTCGAAGCCGACTACGTTTTCGTAGACGTACAATTGCGAGAGAGAGAGAGAGAGAGAGAGAGAGGAGAACCTCAACGAATAATAATAATAAGCGAGCAATTATCATCGATCGTACCGTTGACATCGCGTCTCTCGCCGTTAAGCGCACACCCTCCCTGTAGATCGAACGTAGTCAGTAATGGCCAGTATTGTATATCAACGATTGTAATAAATCATCTCGAACATGTGCAATTCTAAGTTCACTGTATTCAATCGCCGTACGCGCGCTCATTTCCGATTCAAAAGCGCTCACCGCCCGCGAAAGCGTGTGCGTACGCGTCTCCGCATATGCTGTTAGATAACGATAAGATGGGGCTAGATTGTAAATAAACGATCGGCATATGGTTTGTGGGAACGGGACCGGGGCCAGTAAGAGTACTCACTTGTGTACGCTGATATTAGACAATAATAAAAGTCCATTCTCTTACGAGTTGACGAAGCACAGTATGCGATCCGTTTCAACGGATCATTTCATTCATCTCACCCCATCCCCCCTCCCCCTACCCCTCCTCTTTCGATTTATACGACGCGGTCTTTTTCCGCGCTCGTGTTGCGAGAGAAGACGCGGGTAACACGCAAGCAACACGCACACATGGATCGGCTAAATTAACGAACGTGACTAAACCGGCGAAGTGGTGAAGTTTGAACACGGTAACGCCGTCGCGATGACGGACGGCCGCGTTTGCCTGTAATACCCCGATATGAATATTCAACGTACGTATATACGCGAGGTGTACGCCGACTGCCTCCCGCGCGCATACACGTCGGCGGCGGCGCGCTCACGTACGCGCACGCTTTTCGCAATGCTCTGTTTGGCGAACATACAAGTCGCGCGTATTGCGTACAGTTCCGCGACTCGGAACGTTTGCGCTCGCTTTCGTCGACTAGCCGAAGACTGTCGAAGCTGAGGCAATGCCGCGCAAATAACGAGGGACTGGTTGCTGTTTGATGTTTATCCGAGAGATTGTTACGCGAGAGAGAGAGAGAGAGAGAGAGGGGAGGGGGAGAGATAGGTTTATATTTTGAACTCGCTTTTATCAATAAAAACGCCTTAAATGTGACTTCTCAGTCAATCGGATTCCTACACCATTTTCTGGAGGCAACTTCATCGATAGAAGGGAATTCAGAATACGGGCCATAATTTTTCATCGATGTGAAAATATGACAACGTGTGTGTATCGTATTATTATTTACTTACTTACTTACAATAAAACTCCCCGAGTCGACGTGATCCTTAGTGCAGTCTTTTAATTGGTTCGTCGAAAACGAAATGAGTACAGAGGTACGTAGGTATCGCAATGAGCGAACTGTCGCTGCTCTTCAACGCTCGAGATATGAGTCGTGGGGACTAAATTCGAGGCGACTTTGCGACGATCAGCGCGAATATGTCACGCGAGGAAAATGATGAGTATTTACAGACGCGCAGTCCATCATCAAATCGGCGATCGAGTCAGTGATTGGACTTGGGCATCGGATGGTTCGTCGTGAAGACCTCGTAGTCGACCACGGAGAAGTGATAGTCCCCCATCAGCACGGTGTTGGACGCGTGATCGCCCTCGTAACTGTGCGGCAGGTTGCTGTAGCTCTCCTTATTGACGTTGCAATTGCTCGATATCAGCAGGTCAGCGCCCGCGCCGAAAATCGGACCTATGCTGCAATACACGCGACGTTAGAGATCGTGTCGCGAGAGAAACCGTCTCTTTCTTCTGTAAGAATCGCGTCTATACTCAGGATGGTGGCAGGTCGCGAAGGACTTCTTCACGATGTCGAACTTGGTCGGCGGCACGTCCTCGTTGTTCGCCAACGTGAAGAGAAAGGCCTTCTCCGAGGAGACATAATGCGCCTTCGCCGGCTTGCTCCACGGACTGTCACTGAAACCGCCGCATATCTCGCCGCGCATCCCCTGAAAACAGCGATAGAACGTACTTTTTCCAGGACTTCGCGTCCCGCCTTCGATACCGGTCATTTCGATATGTGAGATACGAAAGATTCCGCACACCCACCAGCACTATCACGTACGTCGGACTGATGTTGTCGCAGTAGCGGTGGAACGTCGCCGCCGAGTATCCGTGACTGGACGCCCTGAAAGCGACGGATTGCGAATCGTGATTGCAAGATTCCATATGAATTCGACGTATTGCTCTCTCACACACGACTCTGTTCTATTCTACACAGCAATGGAGATGTGGATTTTCATTTTATTTCAATTGCCTCGAAAATATATTTTCATCAGGAGAGTGTCTCGCGCCAAGTGTAAACATAGCTCGAGATATATTAGACGTGTCTTCGTCTAATACATTAAAACTATATAATCAGCGTTTAATATTGAAGTTATACAGGAGTAATGGTAAAATGAGAGAAAAAGAAAGCACTGAGGAGAAGTGAAGGTATGAGAGGAATAGAGTGTATTATAATGCGGTATTTATTTTACGATAAAATTTCCCGATTCTTTCCAATTTTCACTAATATTCCATGGTGCGCTATGTGGACGATGCGTAATTAGAAAAGGCGCGCCCGCTAGAAGGTTGGTAACTAAAAAACTTGCGTATTATTTAGAAAATGGTCCAGAACTTTTCTGTTCAGAATGGCCTGATCTATAAATATATGACAGCTGTTGTATCTAACGACAGACATCAGTATATTGAACTTTGAATCTCGAATCTTGAACCTGTCGCTAAGTACAACAGCTGTCGTACTACTTGTAGACTAGGTCACTCTAAACAAAACCTTACTTTACAAAAACTTACCATTTTATAAATAACGCAAATTTCTTAGTTATTAATGTCTCTAAAAAGTCCCTCTACATGGCCAATAATTAATAACTCGAAATTTAGCATGTTGTTTGTAAAATGATAGAGAACATTTTTGTTCGCTTGATTCTGTTCTACTCACGAAGTTTGTCCCTCTTGGTCTGGGACACTCTGTATATGTATACATATATAATTGTCCAAGACGATACTTTAAACGCTGATTATATACGTGTAAAATCTAAAATAAATTAAAATTAGAACGATATTTATAGTTGCGCGCAGACTTTTCTTGCCAAAGACAACGGCTCAATTAAGATCAATCGAGAAGCGATTTCGCCGAGGTAACCCACCGGTAGATAAGCCGCCAGCTCTGTTTGGCCACGCCGTACCATTGATTGAGCAGCCGCTGGGAGCCCATCTTGTCCCTGGAGAGGATCTGCGAGCCCGGGAAGAGGAACGGGCTGACTCGCGGCTGCAGTCGCTTGTCCGTGCAGATCTCAGCGAACTTGTTCGGCAAGGCGGCGTACCTATACCTAAAGCAGTCGTCGAGATCGAAGAGGTACCCGCGAAACGGTGAGTGCCGTCCCGCTAGATCATACCTTAGAAATTCTGAGCCGCTCGATCGATCGGCATTGAAAAATTCGTACCTCTCCAAGGACAGCTCGATCGGTACCGCGCCGGTCGGCTCTACCTCCTCCGCGAACACCTGACTGTCGATCAACAACAGCCGTACGTGATGTATCACTCCGGACAAATGCTGGCATACCCGCACACGCTCTTCTTCGGTCCAGTGTTGCGTGGGCTGCGTTACACCCGCCTGGGAGCGTACACGGAGAAAAATATTATTCTACTGCAAAGAAAAGCGATTACTTCACTTTCCTTCTTTTAAATAACAGTTACCTTCAACAAAGAATATTTTTTGGATAATATTCCGAAAAATTTACTGATCACAAATTTGAGAAAAATCACAAATTTTAGAAGATTCATTCTCTTTTTAAGAATAACATAAACTTTATCGAGAAGAAAGGTTGAATTCGGTTGACTTGTGTAAGTATAAGCCGAGGTTTGTTTTAACTTAACTCTTTGCGGTCGAACTCCGGGATATTCCCGACAAAATACCCATGCTTATAACTATTACGACCGCAAAGAGTTAATATTCTCGATTGAAATATACTAAACTTATGGTAGGATTAATAAAATAATCTGAATAAATTTGACGTTTACGATGAACTTATGATATATTTGCGGATATGTAAACTTATGAAATAACTTGAAACAAGTAACACTTACTTCAATGCAGTATATATATTTTTCTGTGTGCACGGTTAATCGCCGGTATTTATGCATGTATACATAACTCTAACAATTATTGACTGCTGGGGTGATTGAAAGATATCTCTGTCGAACGAAGTTGTGTGCGGATTGGGCCAAGCAGTGACAGTGATTAAGAATGCTAAAGCGACACTTTCGTGGATCTTTCTATCTCGCGGGATAACCTGGAGGAGTGGAGACATGCTCGGGAAACGGTACTGGGTTTCCGAGGTATGAGCACGAACCTGATACTTAGCCCAATTGAGGACCGCTCGCCACACGTCCTCCTCCTCCAGAGCGAGATAATCCGAGGATATCAGTTTAACCAGGGCGTCCTTCGGCAGAGTGCAAAACGCCGTTGTTTTTACAGTATCCAAGGCATTCTCACCGATAAAGGCGAAACACCGTTCGATGAAAGATGAGCACGCGACTTTCCCTGCTGGAGCACACAAAGAGACTCGATAGATGAAAGAATGAATAATAGATTGATGTACCTACGAAGCCGTTCTCTCGTTAGCATTATTGGAAATCAGAGTGGTTTCGATTGATCATTTGTACCCTGAAACTGTCATTATTGACAGGCAAAGACTAAACTTTGATCAAGCTTGGCAGATGCTTGTTAAGCTGGCTTGTACGAAACTATATCTACGATGTAGCCAAATTATTTATATAGTTGTTTGAATTTTCTGTTAATCTCCATTGCTTAATCAACATATTCCGGAAAGAGAAGAGAATGGATCTCCCTTAATGTAAACCTAAAACGATGCTCGTAGATTGACCATTGATTTCAACCATTGATAAGTATTATCATATAGATACGAGTAATTAATAAGATTTCAAATTCAGACAAAAATGTCTAACTGAGCACTCGTGTCTCATTCACACAGATCAGTTCATTATGCACCCATGTTTCATTGGTTCCTTCTCGCATCTAATAGTAGATCCACAAACTTTAGTCGTTGACGAGACATTCTCGGTGTAAAAATAAATGAAACGTAAGTTAAAGTATGAAATTATTTAATAACTGCTTATACATCCTAATTATGCTTCACAGTGTCACATAGATACATATTCAGAATGGATCTTCACAAGAACTGTCCCATAATACGAAACCATAAAAAAAAAAGTAACTTTAGATTTCCTAAACAACCAATCATAATATGTCATATCTTCAATTTAGTATGATATTATATCATATATATATCATATAAAATGAACATTATATCATATATAATGAATATATGCCTGTGAAATGGTCACGTGTAAAGCATTCATTTGGAATAAGCTAAAAAACTAGGACGAATACATCTCATTCATATCAATCACGCGATACATCCTCTCCATCATTCAAGAAATCCGAGAACATCAATGCCTAAGTGCCGACAGTCTCCCTGAGTAATCCAAATTTTCACATTGTTCCGAGGAAGAAGTTCGAAGTTGGGTTGTGGTTGAGGTTACACCTCCGTGATTAGTTGGCCTCGGGATTCGTATTCTGTATCAGCGTAGAAAGGTAATATAAAATGTACGTGTATTAACTTTTTCAGTCTTACTTTTGTAAAGATATTGTCTCAACTTGAATTTTGTATTATACTGAGGAAAAGAAATTGAAATTTTGCAAAATAAATGTTTGTTGTGTCATTTTCTTCCATAATAATTGGTTAGGAAAAAATTTGACTGAATAATGACGGAATATATATATTTGTGTGAAATATATCTTAGTTTTCTTATTAATTGATTTATTTCCTAAGAATAAGATTTTATTTCGTCGTATTTAAATAAACGTTTATTTCTGTGGAATAAACTTTATATTTCACAGAAAAAATGTTCAATCTTTTTTAAAAGTGAAAATGACTTTATTAAGAGATTGTCTATATATAGACGAATGAATATTATAAATTATAAGGATACGTAATATAGAGAATGCAGATAAATGAAAATTACAGAATTAAAATATGAATAGCTGAGTGCGGTAAAACCAAAATATAAACCAAGTCTTCTTCTTGGTAGAAGAAGCTGAAGTAATAAAGTTATTATATATAAGGCGCCCAGAAAGTTTTGACCGACTGTATGTAAAACGGGCTAAACTGAACAGAAAAGACTTTTGCCATTTTGCAAACCATGCAAAATTTCGAGTTAATAATGATTGAAAAGGATCATACATAGAAGCTTCTTTAATTAACCTTCCGACAGGCGCGTACGTACACAGAATGTACCGATTTTATGATAAAAATGCACGTAAAACCCTATCCATTAGTCGCAATACTCAAGGTATCTTATCTTTAGTGTTATCTCGTTTTTTGAAACGTGCGGTCAGTTTTACTGATACGAATTGTTAAAGAATATCTTCATTATAACCTAATCTAACTTAAATTAACTTATTATTATTATTTATTTTAATTGTTAGAGTGACGACATCTGGTTACCACTTTTGATTGGCTCGCCATGTTTCATCCGTTCCCGCCAATTTTCCAATTTTATTCTCTTATGTGAATAAATAAATGGTGTATAAACAAAGTGTTATATGTTGCACATAAAATGTCTTTTATTGCATTTGTATTATTATATGTACAACATAGTTATGTTTGCATTTGTCTGCATAAATATGTTGATTATTAACCTTATTATTAAAAAGAATATTATTAAAAGATTAAAAGATATTACTTAAAAGAATGATGCATATGGTACACCTAACCATGTTTCTGTTATAATTTTTCAAAACAAAAATATAAACACAGCTAGCCGCTTACAGGTTATAGGAGTGTTTATGCTGTACTTTCTGCACTTAGGATGAGATGGAAGCACATGAAGGACAGCACATATCTCTTTCTCTCTCGCACGATTTCGATGAAATATGGCGGAAACCCCCTGTTTGTCGTCACTCTGATTAGAGGTTCTCTAATTGAGGTTACACCTCCGTGATTAGTTGGCCCCGGGATTCGTATTCTGTATCAGCGTGATATTGTCGCCCTTCAGCATGATCCGTCCGAGCTGCTTCCTGATCTTTGTCTTCTGATTGTACTCCTCGGCGTCGTCCAGCACCAGGTTCATGTACTCGTCGAAGCCGACAATGTGACCTTCGATTCGCAGGTTTACGTTCTCGAACAGCCAGACTTGGACGCGCGAGCGGTTTTGCAGGTAGCGGAATATAAGGTTGATGGGCTGGACCATCACCTTCTGAACTTTCTGCGGGCCTTTGTACGACATTTTCGTGCCGGCACTTGGAAAATCGGTCTCGACAACTGGTTAGCGGCAAACAGCGTGGCTTCGCGCAACGTTAAACGCTAACAAATATGGCGACTGCCAATGATACCAACACACATTTGGTAGCACTCTCATAATTCTCAAATCGCGTTCTCAAGATTCACCATGAATGGGCTGGTTTACATGAACACTTCCTACGAAGGATGCGCAACAATGTCTCTCGCGAGAATGCGCGAATAATATGTTATCGAGTTTGCTCGATACGGTCACCTAAATTATAACTATTTTATTTGAAAAGAGCAAAAATTCCGATTTCCTGATAGGGGATTGGAGTGAATATAGTTATGCAGATTGGCTACGCTGTGTACCGAAGTTGCCGTAACGTGCTGCTGAGGGCGTACAAGCGGCGCACTTTAAAACGGCCGATAAAAGCGTACACTACGTTTGCGGTCGTGAGTAAAATTACCTTCAACGATTTCCTACATCGTGAAGATGCTTCAATCGAAAAGGAAAAAATCGAGCTACATCGATTGACGACGTGGCAATCACTTTTGTGCACGAGGGCACTTGAATCAACGACGGAAATTAGCAACGTGGGACTTACCTGGAACGCGATCCTGTGCCTCTAAAGCGGCGGTTAAAAGCGCGCAGGCGTTACCAGGACTTAGAGTAGCGGACACGTGCTCCTCACAACTTCGCCAGAGCTCGTCGAGCCCGAGTTCCTGTGCCAATCCCAACATCTCGAAAATCGCACTGTCTTGTAGCATTATCTGTCATCAGTCAAGGGAGAATTTATGTCTATGCAATTGGGGTTGATCAATGTGATCGCGTATGTTCATCAGAATTGGCAATGAATAATAGATTATATACAAGTCTCTTTGTGCTTTGTTATTTAAAATATAATGATGTGTGTATGGTCAATCACAAAAAGGTCGCAACACTTTTTATTCGATGAGTTCCGCAACCCATCTCGTATTCAATAGGAAAATGTGTTTCCTAAAAATGATAAAAAAATCAATTCTCTTATATTGGACTCGTTGCGACGGGATGCAACATTCGGGAATTTATCAAAAAAAGCTGTTGCAATCTTTTTGTGACTAACTGTACGCATGTAGGAAAGATAGAGGTACAGGAGAGCGAAGTCGTTTAATCCACGAAAAGTTCGATTTCTTTCTTCTTTATATGTACGTGACTGTAGGAAAAGTTCATCTTCCACATGTCGGCCGTGAAAGTGTTCTTCTTATTCACTCACAAAAACAACGACCATTCATCGTCCGAGCACTGTTGGAAATTTAATACTTACAGAAAAGCACGTTACTGCTACGGCGATATTAAAAGGCACGACAGAAGAAATGCAATCTTCAAATGTTTATGGATTTATGATTTTCGATTTTTTATCACAATATTCGCCACGTTTACGATATAACATGCGGACCCATATAAAGTCTCCCAGATCAATAGGGACAAACTTCGTGAAAACGTAAAACGGATCGAGATGAACAAAAAGTCCTTTACTATTATCTACTACTATAATCAACATGACAAATCTCGAGTTATTGTATAGAATCTTTTTTAATTGATAATTAAAAAAAAATGACGTGTTATTTGCAAAATGGCAACTTTTGTTCACCTCAATTCGTTCTACGCCCTCACAAAGTTTGTCCCTGTTAGTCTGGGACATCCTATATGATATATATCCAGCATTTCATTAAAAAATTCAATAAAAAAATCACGTATATATACGTAAATTAGAGAAACGTGAGAAATCAGTCTTTCCGCGTTGTCCATCAACTTTTTAACGCTCAAGAATGACTTGTCACGCGAAAAAGAAAACCGAGAGGAACATCGTAAGCGTCGAAAGTTTGCCAAACGTCAAAGCGGCGTGACGAAAAGTCTCAAAGGATCAACGTCGATTGCTGACTAGAGAGCTATCGAATAACATCGACTGATACCCACCTTGCCGGTGTAGATGTAGTGAATAAACTGGCGAAATGTATCAGGATGCGCGTGTGACATTCGCACCGGCGTCGGATTTCCAGCCGTGCCTATCCTTTTCGGCACCGTGAAGTTCTTACACCTGCAACATGATGACGTTCCGAAACAAGAGTGTCTATCTCCACGTGACGTCGTCGTGCATCATAACGATCGTCCACGAGACTTGCTCAATTCGTTACTTCAGCACGCTCTTTCTCTCTCTCTCTCTCTTTCGCTCTCGGAGAGACAAACAAGCACCTTAGCGTTGTCGTCGTCGTTGTTTACGCTACTATTTTTTCACGGTGCTTCTCGTTACGAAAGAGCTTAATTGACTTCGTCACGAGGCAGCAGGGACACACGGAACCCAGCTACGAGCGACTTGGGCGCGCTTTTCCTACCCCTTGGAAATTAATGGCAACCTTCAGAGGCACCCTCACAGTATACCCTTCCGCGCGCTGTGCTATGCTAGTCGCAAGACAGCGAGAATGTGCGGATCGAGAGGGACCCCTCGTGACCCATTAAGGGCTGTTCGATCTGGACCCTTCGAATTGCGCGAGATATTATTCCGTCGGTGACATAATAAGCGCAAAGTTCGTGCATGCATATGTAGTAAGACTAATCCAACCTTTCATTTTAATTGGTATAAATATACACGAGACGTAATACCCGGGGAAACTTCGAAGATTTGTATTGTCATACATGGGAACGTTGTAATTTCTCGGATATGAATAATCCGGCACGGTGTCGGCAAATACCGAGTATCCATTTCGATATCACCTCGCAGCCCGCAGTTGACTCGATTCCAAATATCGACATTGAATCTGCTCGAGACAATTAGGAAATCGTACCGAATCAATAGAGTTCAGTTACCTGGTCTCCCGCTCACGGTGAGGAAGACAAATGCAAGGATAAACAGCTGAAATATGAACGTGTTTGTCGCAAATTAAGACCGAGACGGTGGGCGAATTTTTTGCAACACTTTAAACGCGTCATCTACTGGACGATCTCGAAGAAGCGAGATTTCATATTCTGCTGTCTGTTTGCTTTTTCTCCCTTCTTTGCGAGCGATGTATAATTAAGTGAAAAGACGGACGAACGTCGCGCACGGAAAAATACAGCCTGGCATTCAAGCGGTACCCTATTGACCTCCTGAATATATCGGAGGGAAATTGAATTTTCCGCGACAGCGTGTCTTCCCGAGCGACGAGAAAGAAGGAGGACGCCGAGGTGATCGGCGGACGAACGCAAATTGATTCGTTTTTCAATCGACTCAGACAGGCTTCGTTTTTATTCCGCGTATTCTTAGCGACGTTAATTAGTTTCGCCAGACGACAGCGGAGAGAAAGGAAAAGAGTGGCCTATGATAACTCGTACACTTCCAATAACGACGATCGGAGGAATAAATCCGTTAACAGCCCTTAAGTATTATTTTCCTTGTGTTATTCAAGTTTTTCCGTCCGTTGTTCCACGTGCACTCAGCGTGACCGCTGTTTCACGAGCGTTCTCTTCATGAAAGATCATCTCCGCATAGAAATTTTCCCAAATTCTCTACCATATGCAGCATAGATTCTAATTAGAATAGCTAAAGTTGTCCTAAAATAGGTTATCCCGCTATGCGGGATGAAACCTCGATTAAGCGATGCTAATTCGCTCTGCTCTGCTACATACAACTATTACCGTCCGAATTACAGTTCGAATATCAAATTAGGAAGTTGAAACGGGGCTACATTTTTAATGTTATTATGTTTAATAGCGTGCGCATATCGCACATATAAGTGCATGTGTGTGTTTGTAAAATACGAATACTTAAAATATCTCGTATATTTTGTTCAATCGTAGTACAAAATGAAAGACAGAGACGGTCATTTGGAAAAACGTTGGGGAGTGACCGAATAGAATTTGTTTATGTTACTACTTAGAATCATATGTTTGAAACATTATACTTCTAACCAAAACCTGTGCAAATTTCCTAACTAAAATTCATAATTTTTCTTGGGAAATCGGATAGCTTGAATGATAACCTGAGAAACCACAACTTCAATCGTACGATGCGACGAATATATTCAGCTTACTGCTTACTGCTTACGTCTCACTGCATATTTTATGTTTGTTCATTGTAGACAGCTTTTTAATATTAATTATATCGTGTCATGTATATTGTGTTCGCAATCTTTTCCGAAAAAGTCCATACTTAAAGTAAATATACTTAAGTAAAATGCCGCGGTGGATGTTCAGTACGAATATATTAGTCGGCAAGATTCAAGAGGCGAAAAGGGGATTTAAGACGCCGGGTCGGCGTGAAGTGTGCCGTGATCGCGTAAAGTACATCTGCGCCTTCAATGGAATCAAAAAGTATTGTGTCAAAGGACACGGAGTCGGGGGTGGCTTTTGAAATCGCCACGTTATGTCGCGAGGCCGGCGTGCTAGAGAAGCACGCGGGAATACACGAAACGGCCGGGTGCTTGGAAACCGGCGGGTAAAGTGGATGAAAAGCACGAAAATACGACCAGGCGCTTCGGCTTCGGTTAAGCCGAGCGTTTTCGACGTAGCAAAAGTTCCGACCTCTATCCTTNCCCCCCCCCTCTCTCTCTCTCTCTCTCTCTTTCTGCGGAAGCGAAGTTTGAGAACACCAGCGTGTGTGCGCGAAATCAACGGATGGTAAAACAATGTTTATTCGAATAAACTGAAATTTTGTAAACCGTGCGGTTTTATATCGGGAAATACCAGCTGGATTACCGGTAGAAATTAAAAAATAATTTCGTCGCCTAATGCAGAAGGAATTGCTGACATTAATTTTAATCGCGGAATTCTGCGCTTCGCACGTCGTGTCTGCTAACTATGAACCCGGATGTCGATTATTGCTTTATTTATGTAACCAAGCGCAACTTCGTCGACGAATATTATGATAATTGCTGTACAATTGTGAATTAGCAAAGCTACTTTTACGAAATTTCGCGATCCAACGGAACAAAGACGCTGAAACGTCTTAAAATTCATAATGTAAGAAATCTCGCGTAATCATCGGAAAGCTGTCTTATTTAACCACCCTATTTTTCGCCTGCGACTGTCGACTTTTCCCCTCTTTTCCCTTTTCCGGTCCTATTTATATTCGTGCTCTATCTTCCGCCGAAACTTCGTCGAAGTGTTAAGATTACCCAGGAGGACCTACACCACGGTCGATGATACGCGCCCTCAGAACATTTTATTTCCGCCTTTTCACTCGGCACTCGGTCGCGGACGGGAGAGTCCTCGAGTGTGCGCGTCTCTTTATCACGATTTTCAATAGCGGAGAGCGTCGCAAAGAGTTTGAGCGTGGTAGCACGTATTGTCCATTCGTTTCGGCCGCGGACATCTGTCACGGACACGCGTAACTTAATTTTGCGAGGTTCGCGTGGGCGGACGGTCCGAAGTGAGAGAAACAGACAAAGAGGGAAGGGGAGATATATGGAGGGAAAAATAGAAAAGCCCAGAAGAGAAAGAGAGAGAGAGAGAGAGCAGAAGATGGCGATGACGGCACGATGACAAAGAGTCCCGCCGCTACTTTCCGCGCCCGATATTAAAGGGTTTCGCGAAAATGTCATAATTGACTTTACAATTAGCACCGTCTTGTCTCGCGATGTGCCAACTCTCGGACAAGTTCGTCCCCCTCCCCCGCCGCCTCCTGCTCTTCCTCCTCATTCTCCGGCCCCTAAATATCAATCGAGCATCCTCTTTACGGACGCAGGCGAAGCGGATCGTGTCGAGATGAGAGCAGCGCGGGATTCGCGAGAAAAAGAGTACTCCTCTCGCCCAACTAATTAGAACAGCCGATCGATTCGCGTTTCGCTAACTATTTTCATAAGCCGTAACAGGCCTTTAATTAAAATTCATAGCTGACACGAACTCTGTCGCCCCGCGCCGTTCGCGGAAGTTCAATAAGTCGCTGCTTCTTTCGTCCCTTCGTGTTTCTGATAAAATTCACCGGAGCGTCGCGAGAACGAGACAAGGCTTCTGCTCCGTTTTATCCGCGACTCGCGCGAGCGGGAACGCTCGCCTTGTCTTTTCCTCTACCCTTTTTTTTCAAACAAAAATCAAACAGCGTCTTACATTAATGCTGCTCATTAACGATTGTTAATTAAGAATTCTATCGGGAATCGCCGAGATTCCCGACGATATTTCTTTGCGCGAACTGTCTTGCGCGCTTTCCTCCATCTATGGAAATTTCAACCAACTCTTATCACATTAAGAATTAACTCTTTCTCTCTCTCTCTCTCTCTCTCTCTCTCTCCCTCGTTAGATTTAGCACACCTCTTTCGTTCGCTTAGCAACGTCTCGTGGTCGCAGCTGAGTATAAAATCAGAAGAAAACGTTTCCTCCGCCACGGAAAATCCCACACCCCGAAAATTCTGATATGACTTTCCCATGACGATTAATCGCCCGCTCTCCGCTCTCCAACTCTCCGAGGAAATCGTGCTAGCGTCAGCTCGATCGACATAATAGCCACGGTACACACTGTAGCGAAAATCATTATTGACAATTAATCCAGTTCCAGAGGGTATAGCGCTTGTTCATTGATCGAAGTAACCGAACCATACGACCCTCCCCCGTTTCGAATTCCTCGCGGTATAAACGTGGAAATATGGGAATAACCGCGCGCACGATAGAAATGATTTCGTCATTACGCTGGGGAACTTTAAACGGCTATATATACGCGCGTACAATGCACCGGGATCCATTTCTCGACGAGTCCTCTCGCGTGAAGACTTCTAATTGCGTCGTTAGATATACACGTCTCTCTCTCTCTCTCTCTCTCTCTCACTTCCCGAGAAAAAAAAGGAGAAGAAAGAAACATCTTCTTATAATCTCCCCGAACGAGTGTTACCGAAGTTTCCCGTCTCGCCAATATTTCACCCGCCATTCGGCGCAACTTTGCGGAAACGGGGATCGCGGGGATCTTGTTTCGCGGGCGGAATAAAGGCGAAATTAATGTTTACATAAATAATGGCTCGTTAAGACTGACCTGGCTTGAAGTATTAGTCTGTGGGCGTAAACCGGGGTCTCGTCGCGCCCTAGCAGAAACACGATATCAGCCGAGTCTTTATCCTCGGAGAGTCGCGCCAGATCCTCCAGCAGCCTCGGTACGCCCGACATCCCGACCAACCCCGTCTCGCCAGACATCCCAGCGGCACCTGCCGCCGCCCCGACGGTAACGGCCCTAGTTACCATTATTCCTGTACGGACGATCGTTAATCAAAAGTGAATTAAGTAATATCGGCTCCCGAGTAATTAACGAAACGCGGATCCTCCGCGCGAGTCTCGTCGTCGTCGTCGACTATAAATAAACACCGACGTGGCGCGTCGCCCGCGCGCGATCCTACTCTGGCTTCTTGCAGAGACGGGAACGAATAATTACGATTTATCGATTAGAGATTAATTCGAACGCGGGCCGTCGAATAAATTTTCGCCCGGGCACACCGCGAGCTCTCTAGCTGGAAATTCGTGAAAAATGTATAACCGAGGAAAGCATTTTCACCCTCGGAAAGGGAGAGAGAGAGAGAGAGAGAGAGAGAGAAAGAGATGTGGCATTTATCGCGCACTTCTTATCACGCGGCCCCGTGTCAGAAAAATCTCCTAACGCGGAGCACCGCCGGCAATTTGCGATAATCCGAAATTAATAGGACCGTCGGGAGGCAAGAAGATGACAGCTCACGTGGGCGCGGATGGCGTCCGGCCGAGTTTTTTGCGGTGGCCTCCCTCGTCACGTCGCGTCTCGGCTCGTCGTACGCGGTCGCGGAAATTCGGTGGCGTTGGGAAAAAGCGACAAAACCGATTAAGGTACAATCGGCGCTAATTGCGCTATTAATATTTGATTTGCGCCAGGCCGTTCGTTCGCTCTCGTCCGTTCGCTCGGGCCAGCTCGGACTTGCGTGTAGCTGCGGCGGCGCCAATGACGGCCGGGCCTCCTGATTCCCTTTTAATTAGTACGGGTTTTGTAGTTTTCGAACGCGCATCAGCCCGCCGATTGTAGTGCGGAGCGCGAGAGAGAGAGCTCGCAATCAGCGGTCGTTTACCCTGCCGCGAGCGTGCGCACGACCGCGCCGCCGAGTATCGCATTCTGGGCGATGTGATTCGATTAAAATGTCATCGCCAGGGATGCTCTAACGTCCGTCTCTGATGATTCCATAAAGAACTAATTAGCGTTTAGATCGGGCCTCCGCCGCGGCCATGCCGCCAGCTGCGGCAATACGCGCGTGAAATTGATCATTACCGGCTTTTCGCCCGGGGCCGCTCTTATGTTTAATGTATGCGCTCGTCGTCGCGCTCTCCTCCTCCGCCGCCGCCGCCGCCGCCTCCACCTCCTCCGGGCGCTGATAAGTTTCGACAGTAACGATGCGCCAGACATCGTGATGAGTTTACTCGAGATTAAGTCCTCGTGTTTACTCTCGCGCGCCGATGACTCGTGCGGATCGCAGCGATTTCGGGCGCGCACGGGCTGTGTCGGGCATGCAGATTCTCACACACGGTTCCGCGGGGATTCGCAGGGATTCACGAGGCTCTGCGCTGTCCGCGGCGTGCAGCCGACGTTTTCAAGTGAAGATTTCGCGCGAGTCCACCCGCAATGGGCCACGTGTTTTTGCGCACTTTAAAGATATGCAGAGACGCGACGATTACCACGTTAACGACGATCTCGTCGCACGATCCCGACGATTTTATCGCGGTCCGGAACGCGATCTCCGCCCTCTCCGTCCGTCCGGATCCCCCGTCGGAAAATCCGAGCGACGCCGGGAGCGTCAGTAGTGATCGATGGATCGATGGGATCGATGGGGGGTCGGGCGACACTCACCTTCGCGCAGGGGTCAGCGAGGCACAGCTTCTCGAGAGAGAGAGAAAGAGAGAGAGAGAGAGAGAGAGAAAGCGCTCGTGCGAGAGCAGCGTAGTACAGCACACGTGGGCACGGAGACGATGGTTGCACGCGAGGCGCTTGCACCGCGCCGCTCGTTCCACCGAGCCACTTGTTCCACCGTCTCGCTTCTCTTCCCGCCGTCGTCGTCGCGGCGGCGTCGTCGTCTCAGGGCGCCGTGCCCGCGGCTTCTTTTCTACGCGCGTTCCGCCGATTCTGTCCTATGCGCGCACACACACACAGTGACGTCACGGCAGCGACGGCCGCTGCCAAAACGTACACGTCAAAAGCGGAAAACCTTCGGGAAAGCTTGTCCAGCGCCCCTCGAGTGCAGAACAGGTTTTACGAGCGCTGGACCAGGCCCTCGCTCGGTTATGCTGCTCCTCCGGCATTCTTAGAGGGGCCTGGTCGCTCGGTCTCTCACTCTTCTCCTTTCTCTCTCTCTCTCTCCTTCGCCCGCTTCCCCTTACGCCCGCCGCCAGACCTCTCGGCTCGTCGCGTCTCACTCGCGCCACTGCTGGGACCCTACGCGTCTCTTTGTTTCGCTCGTCCTCGTCGTGTCTTTGTCCCGCGGGGCTCCTCGCGAGATCGCTGCTCCTTGGACCGTTGTTGCCAGATCGTCTGTAGATCACACGATCAAAAAGCGTTCATGCTGCTACCGCTGCGTTCCCGTGAGCTAGGCCTCTCCTACGCCTTGAATTCCGCTATGACGCCTTCGTAGGCGACCCTCCCTGACTTCCGCCTGGCTGCTATCGGCCGAGAGACTGATGACACCCCCGAGTCAAAATTTTTCATTCCACTTTGACGCCGCTACTCATAGTCGGATCTTATATTTAATTCCACTCATCTTCAGATACTCTACGGCTCATTTCATCGGCTACGAAAGATCCGAAGATGAGTTTAAGGGTGTCTTAAATATAAAGTCCGACTATGAACATGGGCGTAAGTCTTCAAGTGGAAGAAACGGATGCAAGCTCTCATTTGCATCAAAGGAGCGCGATAAAAGATCTTTGAAGATTTAATGTAGAACTGAAATTTCGAATCCGGACGCGTCGATAGCTCGAAAACTCCGCTCGATTTCGCGACCTGATCTCCGCGGATTTTACCGGAGGCCCGCGGAATTCGTGAGAGTTTCGCTCGTTGAAAACGCGATCGATGCGGAGTTTCCGGTCTGCATGTCGCTTAAGATACTGGAAAATTAATTTGCGACGCGCGGCCTGCTTCTACGAAGAAACGTGAAATTCCGACGTGAAGGTCTGATCGGCGATCCTAAGAGAAACGAAGGGGAATTCCGCGCGGCATGTGCGAGTCGGAGGTTCCGTGACACACACGAAGTACAGTTATGCGGAGCTGATACTATTTCGGAAATGGGTCTGCATACTCTGCGGTTTCGCGGTGAGACGGTGGATCCTGCACAATGCGGTTCCGTTGATTCTTCGAACGGGGGAAGAGAGCGTCTCGTTCACTCTTGCCGCCGCGGGCGTTCAACTTTCCGCCGGTTCGGAACTAATCGTTAAAAAAAGGAGGCGACGAGTGCTCTTGCGTCATCGCCTTGATCTCTCACCCATTCAAGTATAGTACGACGGAAAGAGGTACATTTCGATTGTCAAAATTGAAGCGACACCTCAAATCTTTATAAAAGCCCTGGAAATTTTGTGCTTTCCCGCCGTTTTACAATAGATGCGTAATCTGACACGTTTGTATTATGTCATCCGTGTTTAATCGTGTTATATTATTCATCGTTGTGACAAAAACGCCCGACACGACGATTGTTGGAAATATATTTTCCATTTTATAAAGAAACGCTGAGAGAGATAGGAGAGAGAAAAGGAAATTCTGAAAATTTTTTTATCGTCATGAACATACACGAAAATATTTCGTGAGTCGAAAAATCGTCACGAGATAATGGTTATCTTTCTGCCCTTCCTATCGGCTGGAAAACAATTAACTTGGAATCTGGTTTGACCCTGCGTGGAATTCGGACCTGTTCGCTTTTTTTCCATCCTATGTACCGTGATTCCTCCTTCGCGCTTTCCACGGTGAACCGCTGCTCCTCGCAACCCGTCGACTCCGCAGGTACTGCAGCTGTCGCATCGGCAGGGTATAACACGGGACTAAACGTGGGACCGCTGCTTCAAAGTGTACCGAGGGGAGAACCGGTCTTACCAGGTTTCGGAGGAGGTCACCGATCGACGATAAAGCAGACCTGATTTTCACGATCCTCGATAGATGTCCGACATCGATCGTTGAATGCGAAATTCGTTAGACCACGCAAATGTATTCTAACAGCACAATTTATTGGTGATACATTGGCCCAATATTGGTTATATATATAGCAAGGAAAAAAAAAGAATTAGCATATAATACAGTGGTGAATAGAAAGGTTGTCCCATTCTCTAGGCTAAACCCATTTCTCTAGTTTTACAAAATAATCAGCAGGCGTGATTAGCACGAATATTCAGAAATGATACTCATAGGTTGCGTTTCAAAATCCACTACCAGTGCTGAAAATCTCTAGAATACGTAATATGAATTATATATTTTCAGCGCTGGCCGTGAATTTTGGAACGCAGTCCTAATTTAAAATGTCCGATATCATTATGCCTAAGCAATAGGACAGCCATTCTGTGACTGTACGACTGAAATTTAATTACCAGATCTAGTTTTTAGCTGTGGGAGCGGAGACAAAAGAATTAGTTAAATTAACTAAATTTTAGTTGTATTATATGGATAGCTAATTTTCATCTGTGGAAGCTAGTTTTTAACTGTGAAAAGCTAGTTTTTAACTGTGAACTACTTCTTTGTTTTCATGTGGCATTTATTGAGGATATATTAAGTGAATCTTACCCAACATAAAGCCGGCCAGACAATCAAAGCCGCAGAAGCAGATATTGCGCAGTATCTGCTATAAATTTTGTCCACAGCTAGCAAAAATATAACAGGATTAACTAGCGGAGCATGATAACACATCAATCAATTAACATCTCTTTCTATTGTATTAAATTCTTTGTATTGGGCAAAATTCGCCCAATAAATGTCAATATAACCAATAATGGACCAATGTATCTCCAATGAATTGTGTTACTTAGGGTAGATCCTCCTGCGATCGCTCATTATCGCATCAAACGACACTCAATGAAATAAAAACTGAATAGAAATAAAAATCGAGCGCAAGAGAGGTATCTCCGGACGTCGCGGTGGTGAGTAACCGTCAAACACTGACGCGAGACTCCAACGTTTCCACCTTTGTTTCTCGATCGATCGATGGACTTTCATACGGCCGCTCATTTATTACTTCATTTGCTAATGAAGCGCGGTCGCGCGAGAACCGCTCTGTCGGAGTAATTCCGCG